CCCCCCCCCAACATTTCCGGGGGAAAATTTTTAGGTGCCCTTTTCATTCCAAAAGTTTGCTAGTTTTCTCATCCACAAAAGTTCGCTGTTTTGATAAGAATATATTAATCAGACAACTACTGTATTCTTTGCTAACTACACTAATGACAGGCACTGTTCTAAAATATGCTCTTGTCTTTTGTTGCAGTGTGACAGCTGCTCCATTTTTACCAAGTCATCCACCAAAAGTGCACGAGGTAATGCGGAACCCAACATTTTAAAAATTAAATATTTATATTAGATATTTCGATAAAAAGTAACTCATTTTCAAATTTCCATGTGAACATTAAGATTTTTGCTCAAGAGAAATATAAGAATACTTCAAAAATATCATCTCGTAAAATCAAGATGTGAGTTGTTCAAAGGCAAGGTCTGACGTGTACAATCTGACAGACATTTGCCCGGCAGAACATTCAGCTGACAGAACATTCAGCCGACAGATATTTCCCTGAATGGGCCAGCCTCTTGTGTCGGACTAATGTTCTATCGACTAAATGTTCAGCCATGATTCTAACATAGAGTTTATTTCAGGTTCCACGTCATGCAAGCGAAGCTCACCTGCTAGCCCAAAGACAAGCACTTGAGGTAGGATATTATGATTATCAGGTCAAAAACGCATTGATGAAAATCATAACTGCTGAATTGATGAAAAGTTTGTTATGATATGGTTCAACTCAACCAGTTATTATATTTTATCCTCGGTTGCCTCAATGTCTGTATAATGTAATAATGAATGTCTCAAAAATACCTCCTACTTTAAAATATCCCCTTCCCTTAACAATGTTGACAAATTGCCTTTAAAACGTTGGGGACAAAAGCCTGAAGTTAATTGATTACGTCTTCCCAAAATTTCGATCTATTTTATTAATAGTTTTGTTCACAATTGTAATAGTCTTGTGTGTTTGTCTGCTGGCTGCTCACCATACAACAATTGTAATATTACTTTCCTAACTACTGTATGTTTATCCTAACCCATCCTGCCAACTTTTCCTGTGGAAGGAAACTGGAGTCCGTTGCGAGAATCTCACGGCCTCAGAGGTGAAAGGCGCTTCGTCTGATGACTGCGCCACCGAAGCTACATTAGCCCAGTGAGCTCTATATATACCTGGAGTAAGAAATTCGGTCAATGAGAAAAGTGAAGCCAAGATGGCGGCCATTGACGTCCAATAGCTCTGAAGGTCGTAAACAGTTTTTATACCATTTTCCCAAGCTAATTCCAGTTTTTTCTAATGGACCGTATCACTAATCAAGTTTTCAGTTCATAAAATCCCAATATTATTCTTTAAATTGAAGTCAAAATACGAAACACTTTCAACACACTCCTTGCCAAGATGGCGGAAATTGAAGGAGCTCTCGGACGTCAGTTCCAGTCCCTTTCTATTGTTTTTGTATGCGCGGTTAACACGAAACTGGCTTCACTTTGAGCAACCAAGTTCCCACTCCAGATATATATGGAGCTCACTGCATTAGCCATTCCGAAGTTGATGAGAGGACTGGGGACGAGTGTTAAAAAGTGCCCAAATTAAGAAATGAACCAAACCACTAAAAAGATCACCTCAAAATTAGCAAGTATACAAAGTTTGAAGAGGTTTACATGAATACCCTTCAAATAATAAGCTTTCGAAAATCGCGATATTTACTATGAAATGCACTGTAATTTTTGTTTGGGGGGACGCGCGTCCCAAAAACCGTCTTTTAATCAGTAATTTCACAATTTTCGAAAGCTTATTGTTCGAAAGGTATTCATGTAAACGTCTTCAAACTTTGTATACTTAATACTCATTTTGAGGTGATCCTTTTAGTGATTTGGGCACTTTTTAACACTCGTCTTCAGTCCACTCATCAACTTCGGAATGGCTAATTGCGCCACCGAAGTCCCGTACTGCGCCACCGTAGTAGCCCCTATTGATAAAAATTCTTTCAATATTTTAGTATGCAAATTCCATTTCGTGGGGTTATTTCATCACTCAAGATTCTCTACATGGCAATTTGATCTTACCTGTGATACCAAGATTTGAACAAGACTGAAGAACATTACATAGTTGAAATACAAGAAGAGCTTCTTCTTGGGTGTGGGTTGCGTGCGTATGGCGTGTGAGACCTGGAGATAACTGTCAGACATGCGTGGTGTATACTGCCACTCTGGAAATAATGCCAAGATTGTAAAATTAACTGCAAAAGCTGGAGTTTTACGCTGAATTCAGTTGCACTCAATGCATGTTACCTGTTTTGCGACAACTTGCAATAATGGTGGCATCTGGTATATCCATGGAATATATTAATAAAATTGACCAGAAAAATAAAACATATGTATCTTTTGTATAGCAACTGCTTTTGCATTTTTAGTTGTATGTGTTTTAGGTTTCCCACGAAGAGCCTTCGCCCTACTAACTTTCAGACGAAGGGCCTTCGCCCTAATAACTTTCAGACGAAGGGCCTTCGCCCTAATAACTTTCAGACGAAGGGCCCTTCGACCAAATAACTTTCAGGCGAAGGGCCAACGACCTACTAACTTTCAGACGAAGGGCCTTCGACCTAATAACTTTCAGACGAAGGGCCTTCGACCTAATAACTTTCAGACGAGGGGCCTTCGCTCGGAACGTCGACGTTCTGCTTATATTTTTCAGGTAGTTGTATCTTCCAATCCGTAGCTATCTCAAAGCCCTAAAACCACGTTGGTCCACAGAAAAATATATTGTTGTTGTATGGGTCATGTTGAAGTACACGATCTCCAACTAGCACTGCCTCAGTACTTAGCGAACCACTTCTATTCCAGACCTGGAAATAATTCT